GGTTAGCAAAGGATGAGGCAGGGCTGCTGCCAGCTCTGCATCCAGCCCGCCACCCTCCACACCACTGAGTTTGCCTGTCCCAAACTGCCATCTGACCATGTCACTTCCTCTGCTTTAGAAACCTCCCCAAGGTTGCAGACGCTGACGGATTTGCCCCAGAGTCGGAGTAGCTGCCACCTGGAGATTCCACAGCCATGAGTGGGTTTAACTTTGGAGGCACCGGGGCCCCTGCTGGCGGCTTTACGTTTGGCACTGCGAAGACTGCAACCACTACACCCGCCACTGGCTTTTCCTTCTCTTCTTCTGGCACTGGAGGGTTTAATTTTGGGACTCCCTCCCAGACAACTACAGCCACCCCTTCCACTGGCCTCTTCTCACTCACCACACAGACCCCAACCACACAGACACCAGGATTCAACTTCGGGACAACACCTGCTTCTGGAGGAACTGGCTTCTCCCTGGGGATCAGCACTCCAAAGCTCAACCTGAGTAACACAGCTGCCACATCAGCCACAGCCAACACTGGCAGCTTTGGACTTGGTAGTAGCACCCTTACCAATGCCATCTCAAGTGCTGGCACCTCCAGCCAGGGGACAGCCCCCACCGGCTTTGTGTTTGGGTCCTCTAACACTTCTGCTCCATCTACTGGCTCCACAGGGTTCTCATTCACCAGCGGCAGTGCATCCCAGCCTGGAGCCTCTGGCTTTGGCCTTGGCTCTGTGGGCAGCTCAACCCAGCCCACAGCACTGTCTGGCTCTCCCTTCACTCCAGCCACGCTGGCGACCACTACAGCAGGAACAGCACAGCCAGCTGCTGCTGCACCTACTGCCACCACCACCAGTGCAGGGTCCACACTCTTTGCTTCCATAGCGCCTGCTCCTGCCTCATCCAGTGCTACAGGGCTCTCCCTCTCAGCTCCAGTGACAACTTCAGCCACTCCTAGTGCTGGGACTCTGGGCTTCAGCCTCAAAGCCCCTGGGGCAGCTGCTAGCCCCTCCACCACCATCTCCAGCACCACCACCTCTGCCACGACCACCTCCACCACAACCTCTGGCTTTGCCCTGAGCCTGAAACCCCTAGTGTCAGCTGGTCCCAGCAGTGTGGCCACTACTGGGACTGCTCTGCCTGGCTCCAGCAGTGCAGCAGGGACTACCACCGGTCCTGCGATGACCTATGCACAGCTGGAAAGCCTGATCAACAAGTGGAGCCTGGAGCTGGAGGATCAGGAGCGGCACTTCCTGCAACAGGCCACACAGGTCAATGCCTGGGATCGCACACTGATTGAGAACGGGGAGAAGATCACCAGTCTACATCGGGAAGTGGAAAAGGTGAAGCTGGATCAGAAGCGGCTGGATCAGGAGCTAGACTTCATCCTGTCACAGCAGAAGGAACTGGAGGACCTACTGAGCCCATTGGAGGAGTCAGTGAAGGAGCAGAGTGGCACCATCTACCTTCAGCATGCGGACGAGGAGCGTGAGAAGACCTTCAAGCTAGCTGAGAACATCGATGCGCAGCTCAAGCGCATGGCACAGGACCTCAAGGATATCATCGAGCACCTGAACATGGCTGGTGGCCCTGCAGACACCAGCGACCCACTGCAGCAGATTTGCAAGATCCTCAATGCACACATGGACTCCCTACAGTGGGTGGACCAAAGCTCTGCCCTGCTGCAGAGGAGAGTGGAAGAGGCCAGCCGCGTGTGTGAGGGCCGCCGCAAGGAGCAGGAGCGCAGTCTGCGCATTGCCTTCGACTAGCCCTGCATCAATGGGAGGGGCTCCTTGGGTGGTTGTGCTGTTGAGAGGAAGGTTCTTCGGCTTGACTTGCACTCAGCAGAAGTTGTACAAGGCATGGCACTCGATGTAACCTGTGTGCTCTGGGGCCCAGCATGAATGTCACTGAGCTCTAGGCCAGCATTTAAAGAACAAAGACAAGGGTTCCATTCAGTGCTGCCTCACGGCAGCTTCAGTTCTAATCCATCCAACTTAGCCTTCAGTCACTCCAGTATGGCTGTGACTGTGGGACAGAGCTCTTGCTCTGAAGGAGATGCTGGCCAAGAAACTTACCTTGGATGGAGACATGGTGGGTTTGAAAGCCCAAGGTTTCTGCTCCTCTCCAGCTTCCATCTAGCCCATGTCCTCCAGAGTGTCTGCCACACAAAGCAGAGTGACCAAGGCACAGTGAGCTAACAACTGCTTTGCCCTGACTACCTCCTTCACTCCTAGATGGTGAGCTCCTGTGGCAGGAACTGATTACCCTTGAGGCTAGAGTGACAGCAAATTTGCTTCTGGGTATCCCAATGTCAAAACTATCTTAGTCACAGTCAGATGCACAGTGTTGAAGGCCAGCAGTCATGTCCTGGTCTGTTTTATTTCCTTGTACCTTGCTGTAGCCTCTGTGATCCCTGATCAAATGTTGCTTTTCTAAATAAAGAAAAATTTGTGAAATCAGACCTGCTGTGGACGTAAGTGGTGAAGAAAGGTCCCAAGACTCAGCAGGGCAGTGCTGGTGGGATGTCGAGTTGTGAGCCATTGGGTTGGAGCCATTGATTGAGCCACATGGGCCCAGTCTTTACCTTCCTTGGGGTAGGTGAGGTGCAGGAGAGAGTCCTGTCCACCCATGTGCATGAGTGGACAACCATCCACTGCGTGCAGGTGTCATTGTGATGTCATCAGTAGTGGAGATCAGGGAACACTGGGAGGTGATATCCAGATGCTGGGCTCATGCCGTGCATTTGACAGCTGCTCTTACCGTCTGAAGATTCCAGCATGGAGCCACGAGTTATTTCCTTTGTTTATGTTGAGCTTCAAAGTACAAAAGTGGGGGCACTAGAGGAGGGATCTCAGCTGCTAAGAGCACTGGCTCTTCTTTCAAGGACCCTGGTGTGATCTCTAGAACCACATAGTGGCTCACAGCCATCTGCAGCTCCAGTCCCAGGTTATCAGTGGCTTTTGGCTACTGTGTGCAGAGCAAACAGTCATATAATAAAATCTCAAAGAGAGAAAAAAACCCTAGCTTTGTGAACACTGGAGTTCCAAGTCATCTTCAGCTACATAGTCACAGGAGACCTTGTCTTGGAAAAGCCACATAGAGGCAGGGCTAGTGAACTGGGGGACACATCCTGAGCGCCCAGTGGCCTTTCTGTAACATGTTAGTTTTTGTTGGTTTAAGGCAGGGTTCCCTCCTTGAGTTGGTGTGACTTTCCTGAGTCCTAGGATTATGGATAAGCCACCACAGCCCAGCTCTGCACTCTGGCTTGACTCTAACCGACCATAGTGTTTAGGCCGCAGTTTCTCAAGATGTCATTGTCACGGTCAGCGTGTATCTCTAATGTGTGTGTGCTCATTCCAGGTTGTATTTGGGACATAAATGAAGCTGAGCTGAGTTATCCTGCCATTTGTGGGGAGGAGCTGCACTCTGCACTCCATCCTTGTACAGCCTTGTGTTTTAAGTTAGTTGAAATCATCCCTGAAGGTCTACCCACTTTAAAGACAACAGCATAGATCTTCGTGCTGGGGGAATTGGGGAGGGGTACCCAGGATGACAACGCTACTGGCAACTTGGGCATGTTGCCCAGGCTACACTATAATTGCAGTTTCCCTCTCCAGGAAGAACACTGCCTTGCTGACCGCTCTCATCATTCACCATGAAGACGGCAAAGGTGACTGCATGGGGAGCCTCTTCCACATCTCCTTGGGTAGCCAGGACCAGCTGTGACCCAGCCTGGGGGGACTAGCCTGTCTCAGGAAGGACCAGCTGTGACCCAGCCTGGCGGGACTAGCCTGTCTCAGGAAGGGGCACAGCAGTGTGAAATGTCAGTGAGCAGGAAGTTGTATCTATAGCACATTAAGGGATGAGAAAGACAAGGGAGACCAAGTTTGAACTTTCCACTTCTGGTCTCTATAAAGAGCTCTGGTCTGTATTGAGCAGCACAGAAAGCATTGTCTGGGAAGGAGTTTTTACAAAAGTCCCTAAGAGTTTTCTAAGAATGACCCAGAACAGCACTTGAAACTGCACACACATGTTGCTTCCAGCATCTATGAGATGCTTTCAGCCAGTGACTACTGGAAATCAGACACGGCCCCAGGCATGGAAGAGTACAGATTGTAGCTAAGCTTGCACCAGCTGCCCAGGTGGGAAGAGTGGGGCTAGAAAGGTGGGTGCTTTGTTATCTCAAGGGCCAGTTAAAGTTGAAGAGGTTGAGGACATGGTTTTGACCTGATGACAAGGTGTGGCAAAAGCAGCTTCTAAAGGAGACACTTATAGGAAAAAAGTCCCACAGAAGGGGAGAGTTTGAGATAGTTTTTAGTAAAATTTAATTATAAATTTGGGTTTTGTTTTGAAATGAGGTATCCAGCCCAGGCTGGCCTCCAGTTCCCAAGGGAGCTGTGGGTCACCTTGAACCTGGGCTCCCTGCCTCCATCTTTGAAGTACTGTCCTCACCGTAGTCCACATGAGGTTTCTGTGGTGCTGGGAAGGCAGCCCAAGGCAACCAGCAGCTGGATCCCCAGCCCGGAACAGGTCGTCCATGTAGCCCTAACTGCGGGAACTTCAAGATCTGCTTGCCTTTCCCTCGGAATCCTGAGAAGGTCCTATCTTGAAGGACAGGAGTTGGCCACCTGTGTGTGACCTTACCTTCTGTTAGTAAAGCTTTTATGGAGCACAGCCATACCCTCACATTTTGTAAATGGAAAGCTAGGCTGTAAATCTTCAAATTTTCATGGGAAATTTTCTGTCAGAGAAACATTCTGTAAAAACTGTATGCCTGGGACATGATTCAAAATAGTCCTGTGTCAAAGAAGAGGGTGAGCGAGGTGCCTGGTGGCATGCCTGTTAGCCCAGAGTTTAAGATGCAGGGTAGGAGGATACGAGGCAGGAGGATGGCCTCAAGTTGGAGGGCATCCTAGGGTACAAATGAAGACACCCACCCTGTCAAAAAACAAAAAGACATTCTCTAGCAAATTCTGCCACAGCCTACCAACTGATCTTCCTCTCAGGACTTGGCTTCTCTGATCTAACAAGGCAGTAGGACAAAGCTACCACCGTTTTCCCTGGTTCTGCCTGCGCCAGAGGATGACTTCCCTTCCAGGTTGACCAGAAAGGCCATGGGCGCCGGGAGAGCCCCCCAAAGACCAGCGTGCAGTGAGTGTCCCCTGTCTGGGTTGGGGAGTTAGGGAGGAGGCCACAGCTACTTTGTCCCTGCCCAGTCTTGGGTCTCCCTATGCCCTCCCTCGGGACACTAGACCGAAAGACTGAAGGCTATGCACTTCATGAGGTCCGTCCCCGGATCGGCCTGCTGGAATGTGGCCTAGACCCTCCAGCACTATTCCTGTGGGTCAGAAGCAAGCCGTGGCAGGCGGGTGTCCCCAAAGACCTTTTCTTCCTGGAAGGCTAGTCCTGAAGCTGCCTTTCCCAAAGCCAGCAGCAGCTGATGCCATGACCAGATGCACACACTAATATCTGGGCTTGTGCCCTTGCTGCAGAACACTGAGCCTCACTTGCACCTCTTGTTCCCTGATCCCATCCCCACACGCCCTGCCTTCTTCCCAAGACCCCAGCATAACCAGGGAAGGACAGTCTGCCCCAATGGTGGCCTAACCGTGATTCCTAATTTAGGCCCAATAATACTGCTTGGAACAAACACTAGGATTTGGAGTGTATATATATTTAGATTGTGACCCAAGCTAGGCTTGAACCCCTGTTGATGGGGGTGGGCTAGGATGGCAAACACATGTGTGTGCTCACACACCCTACCTGAACCTATTCTGTCAGTTCCCTTTGCTCCCCAGACTCCCTAGTCTACTCCAGCCAGGGATCCAAAAGCTGTTCCCGTGGGACTGGAGAGGTAGCCCAGGGGTTAAGAACACTGGCTACTCTTCCAGAGAACCAGAGTTCAATTCCCAGGACCTCCTTAGGGGCTCACAACCATCCGTAACTTCAGTTCCAGCAGATTCAATGCCCTCCTCTTTAGGCACCAAACACACACAGTACTCAGACATACATGAAGGTAAAACAACCACATATATGGAAAACTTTAATACCAGGGCCTAAAATTTTAATACACTGTGACAGTGGCCACAGTGGCCCTGTCAGTCTAGCATTCAGTACACTGAGGCAGAAGGATCATGGGGAATTTGAGGACAGCTTGGGTGCAGAATGATGAGACCCTGTCTAATAAATGCCAGGCCACGAGGTGGCTGTTCCTGCCCCCAGCACCCTCAGTTCCTCTGTAGGGCTGAGACCAAGTACTGCGCTAAGCCCTGGAGTCCTGCTTGACCTGGGCCTCCAGCCTACATGGCTTTGCAGTTCTGGCCACTTGGCCCAAGCGACAGAGCGAGCACACACCTACACCAACCACCTCCCTTTAGTGGACTCTGGACTTTCCCGTTCTGTCCCTACCCTGACTTTTCTCCTGATTTCCCTGCACCTGACTGCCTCACTCCCCCAGCTTTGGGTGGCACTGGTGTCATCGTCCTCATTGCTCATGGCCTCCTGAAGTTTCTGGGGACATCTCTCTGAGATGTCCATCCACAATCTGCTTCCCAGCCGTTCTTAAGACGAAGATAGCAGGGAAGGACAGGGCCACTCAGTCATCACCACCCAGTCCTCCCCATGTTCAGATGCAGCAACAGGTTCTGCCCCTGGCCAGGTGACATATGAAGGCCCTGGCCTGGCTTTACGTCTGCCGTACTGTGCTTTACCGTGTGACACTATCAGGCCGAAACAGGCACCAGAATGTGGAAGGCCCTGTCCCAAGATCCCAAGTCCCAGACTTGTATGTGCCCATTTCATAGAATTGGAGATAGGCATGGAAAACTGGGGTGAGGAGGCCTGGCCTGGGATGGGCAGGCCCAAGACAAAAGTCCAGGAGGCCTAGAGCACAGGGACCAGCACCAATGATGCCATCTGGATGGGCAGTCCCCACCCACAACTTCTGCAGAGCTGTTTGTGGTACAAAAAATAGACTGAGTTACTTCCTCCTGTGGCCCTCTTTCCCACCACCAACCACCTCCCCCAGCATGTGGCCCCACTCCAGGAAAGCACTTTGAATTCCCCAGGGAGGTGAGTGGGCAGGGCTGGCTGCTTTAAGGGGAGAACTCAGAGGCTCTGTTCTGCTGTCCTGTCTAAGAGTAGGTGGGAGGTGGCAGGGTCTACACCCCAGAACCTAGGACTGGGAGGCAGGAGAAGGGAGCTAGGCCAGGGCTTGGGAAAAGGGTCCCAGGAACTCTTGACAGATCAAGATTAGGTCTGGGGAAACACATGCCCAGCCCAGAGAGGAAGAAAAGAGACAGGCTGGGGGGTCCTTAGCCCCCATCACAGTCACCCCACTTCTCCACTGACAGCAGCTGCCACTTGAGCCATGGCTTGGCTGGGTAAGTGAGCAAGAGAGGGGGGAAAGGGGGTGCTGGGACTGTGGCTGACTCCTCCTTCTACTGCCTGTGCCCTGACCCTCTTCTGTTGCCAGCCCCACATCACGCGCTTGTGGCCATCCTCCTGGGTCTGGCAGCCTCTCTGAACTGGAAGGCAGCCTCCAGCCTGAGTCCCTTCGATAAGTGCATGGAGGACCCTGATTATGAGCAGCTGCTCAAGGTGGTGACCTGGGGCCTCAATCGGACCTTGAGGCCCCAAAGGGTGGCAGTTGTTGGTGCAGGTATAGCCGGACTGACAGCCGCCAAGGTGCTCAGCGATGCGGGACACAAGGTGAGAAGTGCAGCCTACTGTCTGCCTGGAGCCTTTCCTGCTGCTGGTGGAAGGTCCTGGGTAGAGCCCCCACTCCATCTGCAGGGAAGGCGTAATTTTTTTTTTTTTTTTTTGGTTTTTCGAGACAGGGTTTCTCTGTAGTTTTAGAGCCTGTCCTGGAACTAGCTCTTGTAGACCAGGCTGGTCTCGAACTCAACCATGCCCGTCTCCGCCTCCCGAGTGCTGGGATTAAAGGCGGGCCTAATTCCTCTTAATGTAATTGTCATAGTCAAAATGGGGATCCGTGTTGGGGGAAGCACTAAGAAATTCCCAAGAGCGAGTGTCCCCTTCACCAAAACCCAGGAATGAGAATGGGCCAGCCCCCCAGTCTTGCGTGCAAACCAGGAATCTCCCTACTTCTGCCTTAGGCTGGGAAGTCCCTCCGCAGTCCATCTGGTGGACTTTCTCTCTGTTGTAGCAGCCCCTCCCCTCCACCCTGAAGAAAGGCTCTTCCAGTCTAGGTGTGCCTCACTGTGGGGAGCAAGACAGGCAGGGGCTGCTGTGAGCACAGCCAGGGGAGCTGAGGTTACTGCTTGCCCCACCTCGTCTTTAGGTCACGGTCCTGGAGGCAGATAATAGGATTGGGGGCCGCATCCTCACCTTCCGGGATGGGAAGACAGGCTGGATAGGGGAGCTGGGGGCCATGCGAATGCCCAGCTCCCACAGGTGAGATCCCAGCCAGGTAACAGAGCTCCACCTCTGCACCAAAGCTAAGCCAAAGCCCACCTCCATCCCCATCTCATATTCAGCCAACTCCCATCCCTGATTTAGGCTCAGCCAATCCCAGCTCTGTCCTTGCCCTGGGCTCAGTGAGAATCCAACCCCATCCTAGTCCATGCTCTTTGTTCTGAAGGTACTGTCTGTCAACCTTGGGCCTCAAGCTGCACCCCCAACTCTGCTCCAGTGTTACCCATGTTCCCTCCCACTCCAAAGTCGGGTTCAGACCTCACTTCTCACTCACAGCCCTCACCATCATCCTGGCTAATACAGCTTGGCTCAGCACTCTCCTAGTGCCATCACTCACCTTCCCATCTGTGCAATTCCCACCCCCAGCTCCATGCCTGTCTGTACTGGTCCTCCTGCGGTACCAGGCCAGGCCTTCTTCATACAGCCTTTCATTTCCAGGATCCTGCACATGCTCTGTAGGAGCCTGGGCCTCAACTTGACCCGGTTCACGCAGTATGATGAGAACACATGGACCGAGGTGAATGACGTGAGGCTGCGGAACTATGTGGTGGAGAAGATGCCAGAAAAGTTGGGCTACGACCTGAGCCACAGGGAGAGAGGCCGCTCCCCAGAGGACATCTACCAGATGGCACTCAACAAGGTGGCTACCAGCTTCCTGCTGAGCCCAACCCTGCCCGCGGCTCTGTCTTTACTAGCACCCTGTTACTCCGCAGCTCCGGCCAGCCCGTGCTTTCTGCATCTCACAGCGCATCCTCTACTGTAGCCCTTCCGGCAGCTTTGCCGTAGACAGTCTCTCAGGCATCATCCTCCTGTCCCAGAGGATCTTTCCACACAGAAGCTAGCCCTGCCCACAGCTTGATAGGGCTCCCCAGTGCCTCTTAAGCCCATGGGCCAGACCTACCAGATAGCTTCCCCTCCCCCACACCCACCTAGTGATCCAGGCATACCCTCTGCTTCTGGAACGCCACCTGGCTCATCCATTATCCCTAAGTCTGCATCCTCAGTGTATCTGCCTGAACATCCTTCTCCTGACCTCGAACAAGGAGCGCAGAGTAGAGAGGCTGGAGGCCATGTTTGTAAGGAGCCTGAAGGAAGATAACTAATTGCCAGGCAGGAGAGTCTACATGCGGTGGGAGAGGTGGCACAGCTCCAAAGTGGTTCTGCCCTCCACACTTTAAAATCAGTACTACCTGCCGCGAGAAAGGGTGATGGGGGCTGCTGGGCCTTGGGGGCCAGGCTGCTGCTGTTGCTGGGAGTGCTCTAGCACTCCTCTGGTTCTGGGGAGCCAAGGAGAGTTGTTTCCAAGGGGAAACTGCTAAAGACTTAGCTGGTAGCAGCACCCTATTGGGCTATGGGAGACCCTCACCTGCCTACACCCACAATGGTCTAGACACAATTACTGAACTTCCTGGCCGGCACAAAAACAAAAGGCAATGCTGACTGGGTGGGCAGATGAGGGCTATCCAGTATTTGGGAGGACTTCCAGCTACAGAGGAGGCTTATGCAGTATGAGCCAAAGTCTGGGACTTGAACAGGGGTGAGTGGCTGTTCCCACTGCAGCCAGGGCCCCTCTGATTGTCCCCCACAGGCCCTCAAGGACCTCAAGGCCTTGGGCTGCAAGAAAGCCATGAAGAAGTTCAATAGGCACACGCTGCTGGTAAGTGACGAGGCTGTTCACCTGTCCTGTCACAAGAGATGGCTGAGGTCCAGGGCTTAGCAGGGAAGGGTCTGACCAGGGCTCCTGCCAACTGCACAGGAATACCTCCTTGGGGAGGGCAACCTGACCCGGCCGGCCGTGCAGCTCCTGGGAGACGTGATGTCCAAGGAGGGCTTCTTCTACCTCAGCTTTGCAGAGGCTTTACGTGCCCACAGCTGCCTGAGCGACCGACTTCGGTGAGGGCACAGTGGATGGGACAAGTCACAGGGAGGAGCGTCCTGGGAGAGGCAGGGCCTTCCTTAAGAGCTAAGCTTCAACCTGGGTCAATGTGCTTGCCCTACCCTGCAGGTACAGCCGCATCGTGGGTGGCTGGGACCTGCTGCCACGTGCGCTGCTGAGCTCATTGTCTGGGCCAGTGCTGCTGAATGCGCCCGTGGTGGCGATCACTCAGGGGGCGCACGATGTGCTCATACACATCGCCACTTCGGTACAGTCTCGTAGCCTGAAGGTGCTGATGGCTGACCTGGTTCTGCTGACGGCCAGTGGGCCTGCGCTGCAGCGCATCACCTTCACGCCGCCACTGACGCGGAGGAGGCAGGAGGCACTGCGCGCGCTGCACTACGTGGCAGCCAGCAAGGTTTTCCTGAGTTTCCGCCGGCCCTTCTGGCACGAGGAGCACATCGAGGGCGGCCACTCCAACACTGACCGCCCATCGCGCCTTATATTCTATCCGGCGCCGGGCGAGGGCGCCCTACTACTGGCCTCGTACACGTGGTCGGATGCTGCAGCCCCTTTCGCCGGCCTGAGCACAGAACAGGCCATGCACGTGGCGCTCAAGGACGTGGCGGCCCTACATGGGCCAGTCGTGTACCGCCTGTGGGACGGCACGGGCGTAGTCAAACGCTGGGCAGAGGACCCGCACAGCCAGGGTGGCTTTGTGGTGCAGCCGCCATTGTTTGGGCAGGGGGATGAGGACTATGACTGGTCATCCCCCTATGGCCGCATTTACTTCGCGGGTGAGCACACAGCCCTTCCACATGGCTGGGTAGAGACTGCTGTCAAGTCCGCATTGCGGGCGGCGGTGAAGATCAATAACCATGTGTCCAGGGTGCCCAGCCCCCAGAAGCAGGAGCATGCCAGTCTCCGGAAGCAGGAACGCACACATGCAGAGGCCAGAGAGGATCAGGATCAAGAGGTCAGCCCAGGTGAGCAGCAGCAGGAGGAAATCCTAGAGGGGCAGGAGTCCCAACACGAAGAGACCAGCCCGGTGGGACACGTGTTTGTGGAGGCCATCCCTGAGTTGCGGGGACATGTGTTCGTAGAGACCATTCCCCAGGGGAAGGGGCATATACACACACACAAGAATATCATGCCTTCGCACACGCATGGGCATGTCATCCCTGAAGAGCACATGCACGGGGGACACAAGCACGTGGGATCTGGTCCCCAGCGGCACTGGCATCTGCACAGAGGGGCAGGTCACACTCCGTGCAAAGGGGGAAGAGGCACCCAGTCCCCAACCCAGTCTAATCTAGAGCAGGCCACCTACAATAATAGCCCACAATAAAATTATTTTTTTGTTAAACCCAGAGGCCCAGCTCCCTCCCTCCCTTTCCACTGCTCTGGTTTCCTGAATGTAGCTGCCCTGGGCAGGTGACACTTGGGTGAACACTGCACTGTGGGGATGATAAGCTACAGGAGGATAAAGGGCTGATGGAAGAACAGAAAACTCGACAGCCTTGAGGCCAGTCTGGGCTGAGCGAGATCTGAAAAACAAGACTTACTGGTCTCCAGCACACAGTCAATGGTTTATTGCCTCACATTGGCCGCTGGTGAGTGGGTTCAGGGAATCCTCAACCTCCACTGGCCGGCTTAAGGTCTCCTGCTCCAGGTCTCCATTCCACATGGGCCTCAGGACTGGCAATCTCCGAGAACCCAGTCAGGTGCAGGCTAGGAGTCGGTGCCATCGTCGTCCTCAGGCAAGATCTCCAGGCTGCTGTCAGGCTGCGGGACATCCTCACGCGGAGGCAGGGGTGGTGGGGCCCGAGTAGGCGACAGTGGCAACGGGGATACGGGAGGAGACGGGCTACTAGGCTCTTCGGGCTTCGCCAACCCCAGGACTTCCTGCACATTGTGTGGCAGTTCCTGGGGGGAAGGGGGAAAAGCATCCAAAAGGCTAGGTGATGGGTGGGGGGTGGAGTCAAAAGGGGGGGATGGCGGGAAGAGCCATGGGGGTTTATTCCCTATAAAGAGCAAAGGACTCACTGGGCAGGCAGTCAGCTGCCTGTACAGGGCCTCCGCCCGGGTCAGCACATCCTCGACGCTCAGCTTCATGGTCAGTTCATTGATGTGCTGCAGGAAGGGCAGGGTAAGGCGCATGCCCGCCTTCCTTCTGGGGTTGGAGGGAAGCAGACTTGCCCCAGGGGTACAGGGCCCAGCTAGAAGAGGCCTTCAGGATTCCCTGGCCTGCCACAAGGTAACACAGCATCCCCTGCTAGCACACCTGGACACTGGAGCACACTAGGAAGGACCCTCACTGGGGACAAGAGTTCCAACCCCACCCAGACAACAAGGTCAACAGGACACACTGCGGGTGGACTCGCCCACGTCAAGGGAAGTGCCCTCACTTCACCTTAAGGATCTCGTTGGAGCCAAAGCCAGACAGCATCAGGGTGTCCCGCTCCATGTCTAAGATGGCACAGGCCACCAGCAGGTGCAGATTGGGGCCAGGAAGCCCAGTCCACAGGACCTGGGGTATCAGAAGGAACCCTGAAGCCTGACTCTGACCTGCCCATCCCCCTTGACCTCCCCACCCTTCCACCAGCATCTCACCCCAGCTGGCTGCCCACCTCCCACAGCCGAAGGACATCAGGGAAGGGAAATTCCCTCTTGAACCAGATGAGCAGCCACCGGAAGCAGAAGCACAGCGAGCCCGAGTCCTGGGAATCTAGAGGACAGCAGGGAGTTAGCCTTGCCAGCAGCTGGTGGCCAAGCCCTAGTCTAGATCACAGTGGACTCAGCAGCTGGGATAGGCAGACGACAGGCATGGCTGCACACACATGCTGCATAGGACGCTCCCACCACTGCCTCCCTTTAGAGGGATGGGAACACAGTAAGACCATACTACACCAAGGGAAGCAACCGGGGCCGGTGCCAGAAGCACCCCGACAATGTCAGTCAGTGTAGTAACCTGAGGACAGCATGAGTGTTACCATGGACATGGTCCCCCCAAGCCAGTGTAATTGTGGACCTTGTCTAGACAATTAGTGGCCAGAATATCTATCAGGTAAGTGAAATCTGTCTCAGGCTGTCTTGCAAGTGTGGCAGACAGAATGCCACACACCCAGAAAAACTGCGCTTCCAGGGGACTTCCTGACAGGAGCAGCTGTCTCCCTAGGCACAGAAAGTGACCTCCAGCCAGCACGGTTCCAGGTTCCTCAAGGATACACTCAGGGTCTCAGTAGCTCAGGCTTAAACTCACTATGTGGCTTCAGATCCTCCTGCTTCTACACCATCATGCTGAGATTACGGATGCCGCACTTGCCCAGTTTTCCAGAGCTTCATGCACGTTAGCTGGGAATCCCAACAACTGAACCCTGGCCTCTTCAGCATTTCTCATTTTAAACAAGCAACAAGGAACTCCCAGCTAGAATGCAGCGGTCCTAGCTGATGGTCCAAAGAAACCTGACCTAGCCTATGGTGGGCAGTCTTCCCCATCCCCCAGGCCTTGATGCCAGGTTACTTGGGACGTTTTTCTCATTCAGATGGTCGCACACAGGACCTACCCAGGAAATCACACAGTGGCTGATCCAGCACCCGCAGAAGCAGCAAGAGCTGCCCAAGCTGCCGCTTCATAGTCTCCTGGCTCTCCTCAAAGTTGCCATGCTGCAGGAAGCAGGAGAAGTGTGAGAGCAGAGTGCTGACTGCACCTCAGTGGCTGTCCACATCCCTCTCCCATCCTGGGCCTCACCACAAGTTCCATGAAGCCACAGAAACACCAGAAGGCATCCACTTCGTTCTGAACAACGAAGAGGATTGGGGACAGGAGGTCACTCATGCCCTGAACATAGCCTGGGGGAACACAGGGTCAGCTGCATCACCTTGAGCACCTAAGACACCCAGCCTTCGCCCCATCAGTGCAGCGCTCACCCAAGTCGAAGTGGTACATGCAGTAGGTTAGGAGGATGTCATTGAGCAGGCCCAGCCCTGGATTCTCAGGGCCTTCGTAGAACTTGTTAGTCCTGTCGGTGCGGCTTACATCTCTCTCTGCGGGGGGGGGGGGGGGGGGGGGGGGGGCAACACAGTAGGGACACAAGAAAGGTTAGCTGGCCTTCCTAGCTGGTCACAGGCACCAGCCCTACTCTCCTGCATGCTGACAGCCCTCAGCTTTCAGGGCTTATGCTACAGTAAGGGTGGGGGTTCCCCAGAACCTCTCATTGTCACCCCCAGTGTGAGACTCTGGGGAAATAGAGGCACAGGGGGTAAAGTTACACAGTCTCCCAGTGAGAGCCGACAAGGCCCCAAGACCTCTTTCCGTGTCCTGCCTCCTCCACTGCAGATCACCCCCATGGCCACAACATCCACCCAACTGCTTCCAGTCTGCCCCGCAATCCCCCGGCCACCCACCAATGAGACTACGGTATCCATGCAGCAGCGAGTTCCTCCGCTCCTGTTCAGCACTCACGGACTTCCACTGCAACTTCATTCGGAAGTACTCATCCCTGAGGACAGAGGTCACAGAAGCTATGGTCCCCGCTAGCACAGCACCCAGGGAACACCTGGGGAAGCACTGGTGTTCCATCGCTCCCCAGCCCTGCCCTGTTCACACAGGCCCCTGGTCCTGCTGCCCCATGGGCTTCTGGTAGTATCTGTCACCACTGCCTCTGCTGGGAAGCACGTCCAGGCACTGAAGCACCCTCAGGTGCTCACAAGGGGTTAGACGCCCACAGGAAGGAGCTGTGGGAGCTACAACAGTTCAGCAACAGACTGCAAGGGACTCCCATCAAGGGGATGAGGCTATTCACTGCATATAGTGGCTTCGAACCAGAATCTGTGGAAGCCCCAGTATGGTGCACAGCAGGGGGTATGCTGGCTCCAGGACACCCTAACCTGGAAGACTAGAGGGGCCAAGCCCGAGCCTGAGGGCAGATGTCTAAAGGATGTGGGGGCTGCACGTTCCCACTCACGTTTTCTTCCGCACGTGGGCTTTGTGTTCTTCAGCTGAACCCTCCCAGCTAAGGTACCCCAGGAGGAACTTCCATGCCTCCCGCCGCAGGCCAGGGCTAAGACCCTGGGGATGCAATGGAGCACACAGGTCAGGGGCTTCCTCCTGGCCAGCTGCCAGCCCACCTTAGTCTACATCCACCGAGACTCACCCCTGAGAAGATCCGATTTTTCAGTTCAGGGATATTCTGCAGGCGACCATCAGGACCCACATGGCGGGCCCATTCTTCCTCTGTGACTGGAGGAGCCCGCTCCACTGTGGGACGCCGCCCTAGCTCCACCTGCAGAACACGGGCAGGTGAGCTCCGAGCCCTCCTGGGCTGGAGGAACCCTAACGACCAGGGGTCAGCAGGAAGCTTCAAGAAAAAAGGGCACCTGAGAACAGCAGCCACAGGCAGCCCTGAGACAGAAGGATCACACAGCACAAGGCCAGGGTAGAAAACTGAGACAAATAGCCTCAAAAACCAGAAATGGTTGGGGAACTGGTTCAGCAGGGGAGCACTGCTCGAGATCACCAGTGAGGGTCTGGGTGGGAATCAGTGGCAGAGAACCTGCCTAGCATGCAAGAGAGCCCCTGGGCTAGATGGATCCTCAGCACAAGAAAGACATCCACCAATTAACCAGGCAGCTGGCCCAGTACACAAGACTCCTGTGAAGTCACTGCTCACACAGCTCCAGAGACGGGTTTCACAGAACCGAGGTGCTGTGGGATCTTGAACAAGGTAGAGGTGTGTGACACACAAAGAACATTAACTGTATGACGACTGTATGACGGCTGTATGACGGCTGTATGACGACTGTATGACGGCTGTATGACGGCTGTGTGACGGCTGTGTGACCGCTGTATGACGACTGTATGACGACTGTATGATGACTGTATGATGCTGTTGTTTTTGTTTCGCTGCCTTTGTTTTAACGATACTAAGAATGTGTGTTTATTAGGTACAGATGTTTTGCATTTATTTCACCTTGCCTGCCTACCGCACCTGACTGGTCTATAAAGAGCTGAATGGCCACTAGCTAGGCAGAGAAAGAGTAGGCAGGGCTGCCAAGCAAGAGAATGAATAGGAGGAGATCTGGGCTCAGGAAAGAACAAGAAGAGGAGAGAATGAGTGGTACACCTGTGGCCAGAAGCCGGGCAGATGCCAGTCAGACACAGAGAAGCAGTGAAAGTAAGATATAGAGACGTAAGAAAGGTAATAAGCCCACAAAAGATAGATAAAAAGAAGCAGGTTTAAAAAAAAAAAAAAAAAAACGAAAGGCGGAAACAGGGTCCTCGACACTTACGCAGGAGATGACCTCGAAGCCAGGCTCTGGCTCATCATCTGGCAGCAGGGGCAGGTC